CTAGCGTCGACATACACGAGTCAAGGCCGATGGGAGGAGGCCGAAGAGCTGTCTGTTCAAGTAACGGAGACAAGAAAGAGAGTGCTGGGTGCAGAGCACCCTGATACGCTGGCTAGCCTGGCTAACCTAGCGTCAACATACATGGGTCAAGGCCGATGGGAGGAGGCCGAGGAGCTCAATATACATGTAATAGAAACAAGAAAGAGGGTGCTGGGTACAGAGCATCCTGATACGCTGGCTAGCCTAGCCAACCTAGCGTCAACACACATGGGTCAAGGCCGATGGAAAGAGGCCGAAGAGCTTAATGTACGCGTAATGGAGACAAGAGAGAGGGTGCTAGGTACAGAGCATCCTGATACGCTGGCTAGCCTGGCTAACCTAGCGTCAACACATATGGGTCAAGGCCGATGGAAAGAGGCCGAAGAGCTCAATGTACGCGTAATGGGGACAAGRGAGAGGGTGCTAGGTACAGAGCATCCTGATACGCTGGCTAGCCTGGCTAACCTAGCGTCAACATACATGGGTCAAGGCCGATGGAAAGAGGCTGAGGAGCTCAATGTACATGTAATGGAGACAAGAAAGAGGGTGCTGGGTACAGAGCACCCCGATACTCTGACCAGCATGAACAACCTCATATCCATATACACGAACCAAGGACGATGGAGGGAAGCAAACGAGCTACAGGCGGAGGTGACGGAGGTTTCCAAACAGGTATTAGATTCTGATTCATCCGTTGAGAATGGCTCAGTATTTTCCGCACCAGCCTCCATTCCCAGCACCAGATCTTTAGAATCTGGAAGAGGGGAAATAAATTTGTTACTCATTGAAGAGTTTGCAACTCTACTGCACGAAGATAGCGTTTTGCTCCCGCTCCTTTTGGTTGGCGTATCAACAGAACGGATTGGATTTGAAAGAATGCGAAACAACTTTCGGAGGTTGTTGAATCACTTTGCCATTGATCTCAAGGCAGATATCCTCAACGAACTTCACCGAGACCTCAGAAGCTTTGTAAGCTCGTATTCGGCTATGATCACTCGTGAACTATTTGCCATGACACCTATTGACAAAGAGCGAAGCATGAACTCTTCCACTTCAGAAGCACAGCATAGAACCGTATCAGAACGCTCAGTCCAGAAGAGTAGAATGCAAGATTCTTCTCAAGATAGGGAACTCCGCACTTTTCAGATCAGTGATACTTCCAATCCTAATGATGAGGAAAGCGATCAAGACTCTGTGGCAGAGGAAGCTGACGATGATGAGCCCTATGAAGGATCCTTGGACCACTTAGACCAGATAAAGCACTTCATTCTTGAAAGCACTGCTTACCAGACCCTCCGTCGTCGGCTCGAAGAGTTTGTTCAACCCACACTATACTCTCGGCTTCGAGATCTAGTGACCAAGTGGTCAAGTCAAGAAGACAAGAACCATGGTGAGGTTGCGCGGTATAATCTGCGGGATCTCGCCACAGAGTTGCGGCACGTGAATCCCCACGAGATTAAATTTGACTGTGATCAAGACATTTCTCAATTTGTCAGATTTATTGGCTACTATCAACATCTAATTGAGCGTTGGACTGGAGAGTGTTGGGATTGGTGGCCATTACCTCGCTGTCCGAGGCCGCTCGCAGAATCAGAAACAAGGTTACGGTGGAAATGTGTAAGTTCTCCTTCATATTCACCTCTACTTAGGATCTAGGTCCTAATCAGCAATGTAGATATGTGGTGAAGAGCGAATCGTAGAGTTACCAAATAGCTTCATCAAGCGCCTTCAGTCCATAATCAGGAGTCTTCCCATCGACATCGCAGCAACCCAAAATATACAACCTCCTCTGGATGCACATACTAGATCTAACTCGATCCCCTCCAGCAGTAGACGAAGATCTAATCAGGTATCCTATCGAGGTCATAGTCAGCAGCCAGGTGATTCATCGTCTAACACTTCACTTTATCGTCAACCCTCGGAACTCAAGGTCAATACCGCGGACATGAGCATCAACCGGCAGCGTGTTCTTTTCATTGTAAAACAGGGTCAAAACTTCAATCTCGCACAAGTATGTGTCAGTGATGTGAACAGCCAATCATTCTTCCGCACACTGAAAGATGAGTATTTCCGCCTGAGGGGTGTTCTACGTGGCTGGTTCAGCATTTGGAGGTATTCTCATTGCGATTTTTATAAGGTAATCCCTTATCATTGAGGTACTCTAAGGACTTCGGTTAATTATATCAATCACAGTTTGAGAAGTTTGATGACCACGAATTCACTCCCAAAATCAAAGATGCATTCCCTGATCATGCGAACACCGAATACGAGTATCAGCCAAGGCCAATGGACAACATTCCCCCAATTTCCAAACACGAATTCGAGAGACGTTTCTACGCTTGTCACAAACCAAGACCGCTACTTCATTTTTACCACGAGTGTAAAAGACTAGGAGCCCATTCCTCTGACATTCTGGGGCGTCTCCCGAAGAAAAGGAGCGAACTGGAAGAAGCAGGGGACAAGCGAGAGGACTTTTGGGGATTATATGCTCGCGAAACCGTCAGCTTACCTCGGATTATACTCTACAATATTATCTGTGTTTCACCTTTGCTAGCGTTCTTCGTGGCGTGGATTATACCACAAGGGCATGGTACGGATTTGCAAAATCCATCTATCCCAGTTTCCGTAATGGTTTCGATGCTTTCTCTCTTTTGGAGCGTGTTTCTCAGCACTTTACAAGTTGGAAAATCGCATTAAAGCAGACATGTTGTAGTCAATGAATCATTCTGATTTTGAACATCGACGAATGTTGATGGGATTTCCCAGCTCCCTCCCTTTGTTTCCAGCGCCGGGAAGTTCCATTTATTTCTAGTTTAGCGTCGTGTTGAGATAGGGCGAGGATGTTCCCTCTCTCAACACACACACGTTAGAGAGAGAGAATACGCAGGATGTTCTGCTCCCACACCTCAATAACTAATCATACCAGGAGTTCGGCGAATGTCAAGAGTACTGTAGTGAAGACTCCGGCCTGTTCAGTTCGAACCTACGTCTATCTAGAACCGAATAATTAAATGCTCGTAGTCAGGGAATTTGGATAATATCCAATCTGCAAGAACCTATTTTAGAAGTCATATACAACTTACGAGGCTAATTGTAATCATCTTTCACTCTATTCAAGAAACAGGTTGTTATTCAAAATTTGAGTATGTTTAACTTACATGTCCGGTACAATACCATACATATTATAGTGTGAACCAGAGATGCTTCGGATTTATGTAAATGTAGTTTAACCCCTCTTGGCATAGGGTTTGCGAAACAATCAAAAAGAGTAAAACCCCGACACCGGTTTTGCCTCCGAGTGTATATGGCTTTAGCTCCCAAAGAGAAAACCTATCCTCTACCAGGTGAATCTTATATAAGGAAACCACAGAGGAAGATTTGCTGCGGGCATGGACAGGTTACGATAGTTGGCTATGCACTATAAGACAGTACCATGAAAGCACTGGCCTCAAAATAGCAATTCATCTCAATATCAATACACAATCCTGAGATCACCCGCAACAGGACAATGATAAAATAATCCAAAGAGGTGAGTTTTAACATGAAATATTGTCATGCTTGAACAGTTGATGGCATAAGGCACACTTCAAAATATTACAGCACCTCTATTCCCCGTTCTGTCACTTTAGTAATTAAATTTAATTCTAAAACTGTTTCTCTTTCTTCTTCCATTCATCTCTACAAGTATATCTTATATAAGACTACTCTAGACTATAGATACCTCTACACGTTAGATTACAAGACCGATACTTATATCGCATCATCCAAAGGCAATAAGAGCAAAATTACCCATCTTAATAGATTAAAAGAAGGAATTCCACCTACTATACCAGAAAGTGAAAAGTCATAATCTAAATCAAATAGTGTTTCTAACATCTCTTTTCTAACACTCTATCCTTTTATATTTTAATATATTCACTTATAGACTATTTATTTATACAGGGCCTAAAAGCTCTTTTCAAGCAAAATATTAAACGGGAACTAGTATCATAATTAGAGACGAATTCATCAGCAGGAAATAGCACTAGCAAATAAAAGATATCTAAAATCCAGGGTATTAATAATAAAAGACCACGTAGACCGCATAGACACCAGGCAGCATCTCAACAGCTCCCGAGGCTCCGTAGCCATTTATGACGAACCATCGTAGACAGGTGGGTCTGGTTGGAAAGGTGTTTAAAATAGATAGATCGTGGTTAGAAAGGTGTTTAAATAGGTAGGTCATGGTTTAAGAAAGTGTTTAAAATAGGTAGGTTGTGGTTAGAAAGATGTTTAAATAGGTGGGTCGTGGTTTAAGAAAGTGTTTAAGATAGGTAGGTCGTGGTTTGAAAGGTGTTTAAATAGGTAGGTCGTGGTTGAAGAAAGTGTTTAAAATAGGTAGATTGTGGTTAGAAAGGTGTTTAAACAGGTAGGTCATGGTTGGAAAGGTGTTTAAACAGGTGGGTCATGGTTGGAAAGGTGTTTAAACAGGTAGGTCATGGTTTAAGAAAGTGTTTAAAATAGATAGATCATGGCTAGAAAAGTGTTTAAACAGGTGGGTTATATTTTCGAAAAGTGTTTAAAAATATATAGGTCGTGGTTAGAAAAGCATTTAAATATATAAATTATAGATAGAATAGATATTTTAATATGCAGATTATAGTTATATATAATTTATATTTAGAAAAATATTTAAATATATACATCATATTTAAATAATATATTTAAATATAGTTTTAAATTATAATTAGATATAAATTTTATATCTAAACACTCTGCCTACACGTAAATACTATATTTAAAAATATAGACTACAAATAAATGATATCTAAAGATAGAGATTATTCTATTAAAAAATATTTAAGGCTTTACTTAAAAAAGTCAACATTCAATAATATAAATTAATGTTTGGAAAAAGCCATTTTAAATATACTAGATCAATTTAGTATTTCAAGACATAACTTACTTTAAAATCTTAAACCTATCTCTCTTATTAAATAGCATAGTATTAATTATAGAAAATCAATATAACCTACTAGCCACGTTACTTTTGCTAATTTTTAATAGATATTACTACCAATAGTTATTATATAGAAGAGAGAGGTTTGCCATATACTACTATAATATTAAGCAACCTAAGTCCTACTTTATAAGTCTCTCTAATATAAACTCCAACCCAACAACATATAGATTATTGCTAGATACTCAATTCTAACAACATTATTGTAATTAACCTCACTTAATTAAGCTTTGATATGTCCCTCTTATATAAGAAATAAATTATCATTTCTATTAATAATAAAGTATCAAATTTACCATTATTTGTCAGTAATAGATGCGAGCACTATACTAGTAGTTTAGTAATAAGTGATATCTAGAACCTACAAGCTGCACCAAGCCTAGATCTAAACTATTTAGTATTGAATAAGCTCGTAGATAGCATAGCTTATATAGAAGGCTATATTTAAATTATATAGGAAATTCAAGATATACTATTATATAACTTTAATATTATACTAAGTCAAATAGGGCCTCCTATATCAACACCTACATTATAGGCCTCCATATCTACTATATCTTCTAACTGCTCAGAGGGCTTATAATAGTATAACTCTAATAATAATATTCTTAAACAATGCTTTAATAAGATATAAATGCCTTATACCACCTACACCATTAAATATAGATATAAAGATGACTCTAACCTATATTATAGGTACAATTGAATTTATATCAGACAGAGATTTGATTTATATCTTAATAGCTAGCTATTAAACTAGTGCATACTTTATATAAGATCTTATTTAAACAGGTACTATATTCATATTATAAATTTACAATTTCAAAGTTTTATATAGTTGATAGCATCTCCTTATGCCGGAACCAAGCTCTTAAGATATAGATTAGTTTACTATAGTATTTAAAGATCAATTCTAGCATATATAATCAAGATTCATGAATATAGAAACTAATATAATATACATATAAAGACAATATAATTATTAAGATACAAGATCACACTACGTACCTATAGTAATGGCGAACCCTTCCCAGAGCCTCCCAAGTCAGACTCCACACATGTGCTCATACACATTGGCAATTGAACTGTATGGCAAACTCCGAACATCCAATATTTGTCAGTCCATAGTACAGTAAGAATTTGATATCTTATATTTTTGATCTCTATTCATGGGCGGCTCTGGGGATTAGTGTATGTAGTTTACCAATTTTGCCGCGTCGAAGCTTCGAGGATACTGTACTCTGGATCAGGGGATGTGATGGTTAATCATAAGCAGACGAACGCCTTGATGACATCTGCCATGATTTTTTGGATGTTTCGAATTGTGTAGATTATGGGAGAGGCACATGGCACAGCTCATGAGATCGCCACTCGAGAAAGCAATAAGTACCACCCTTGTTTACCGCTTAGATTATTTTACTAAGGCGGTTGCCAAGGGGGGTGCAGGGAGCAAGGAGTGCTGTTCAGCTATAGCATGGTCGATTAATATAGTGTTATATTAGGGGGAGGGTTGAGAATACTATAGAAAGTATTTTATTTACATACCGAAATATGGAAACTTTGGTGTATGTGCTTTCAATATGGACTAGACCTAGTATAGACTAGATAACAGAAGTGGCGCTAGGAAAGAGTCAAAGAGTGTAAATCATGTCAAGCCGAACCTGCAAGGCGCCGTATAATAATGTAT